GTTACAATTTCTGAGTTAAGGAAAGGGGAGACAAAAAACCACAATAGAAAGAGTTGAACATCAGCAGGGGATCAGCTCAGAGCTCAGAGCAGGCTGCAGATGTTCCCTGGAATGTGGCATTCCCAGGACTGCGCCTCAGGGCTCGGGGAGCAGAACCACTTCTGCACAACTGCTCCGTTCCCTCCGCCACCTTCCCACACTTCACACGCGCCTCGCGTGGACCCACGGCTGCTCTGGCTGCTTTCTGCCAGGGAAAAACCAGCACAGCTTGTCCATCAAAGGCTCCTGCTCAGCACTCGGGGGAAACCAACCACAGCCACAGCATGGCAAGGCCTTTGCTCTCCCTGGCCTTGACACTCACTGCATCTCCTCACCTGGCACAGCCAAGGGACATTCCTCCTTCTTCTTCCTCTGCAGCTCATTCCCGTCATCACTCAGCTGCTCTCCCAGGGCTGCTCTGCTGAGTCCAAAAGGACAAGATTTTAAAAGACCACCTTAAATAAGACAGTTCTAGCACAGAAAGCACCTTTACAAACTCCAGGGACACAAGAAGTGGAGGAACACTCCGATATTTCTACTCGCACCACAGTGCAAAAAACACTCAAAAGGCTTTTTCTTGGATCTCCCCCTTTTTTTGCTTTTTCTCTCAGAAAGCTTTACAAAAGCCTTTTGCTTTTACAAAGCTGTAGAGATGAGGAATTGTGTGAAGTCATGTTTGTCAGCCCAAACATTCCTGGAAATGCACGTTGGAGAACAAAGACTGAAATCCGGAGTGTTGGATTCCGAAATGCTGATCCTGGACAGGGCACACCCTGAAGGTGCCTCACCAGTTCAGCCCCAGTCGGGGAAGCAAAGAAAAGCCCAAACCCACCAGCCCAGCCAGCCCTCCCCCCGTGTTTGGCTGTTTCTGTCCCTCCCTGCACTGCAGGGTCAGGAGCACTTGGAGCTCCAGGGAGATTGCAAAGCCGGGCTCAGGGCAGGGCGGGCTCAAGTGTCCCCGCTGCTCAAAGGAACAGCCCAGTGTCAGCCAGGGGCATCTGGGGCTGGATTTGGTTCCTGCCCAGGGCTCCTGGTGCAGCTCAGTGAGCACCAGAGCTGGCACAGCCAGCAGGGAGAGGGGAGGGAGAGCAACCAGCCCCACGGGTGAGGGGCAGGTCAAGGCTGCCCCGCATCAGGGGGTGGAATTCACCTCCCAGGAACAAAGGGCTGAGGAACCAAGTCAGTCCCTCCCTGCCTGGCTTCTTCCAACGCCTGCACCCCCCAGGACTGCACTGACACCAGAGTGTGTGCAGAGAACTAGGCTGGCCCAGAGGGCTGGGATCCAGATCAGCTCTGAAGCCAAGCCATGGATTTCTGGGCCAGGCAAAGGAAGCAGCACAAGGGCAGAAAGGAGCAGCCGTGCAGGGATGGGATCCCATCCCTCTTGTGGGGAGGCAAGAGGTGCAGGACACCTTACAGTGCTCAGGAAAGGACAGAATCAGGTCCGTGTTTCTGTTCTGGGCTGGACAGTTACCTTCTGAAAGCCTGGAGCACTCCCGGCACAAAAACCTTTGGAGAAGCCCTTGCAAGTGTGGTATCCCTGTGCCCACATGACAAGTGTGGGGGAAGACAGCTGGGGGAAAAGCAGAGAAAAGGGGGAAGTTACATTCCCATGGAAACAGAAGGTGGGACAGCACTGAAGTTCCAGGGGGAAATGCAGTTGCTGCTTCCTGCACGGAATGTGGTCGGTACCCAGGGAACATATTCCATGATGATTCCTCACACAACACAGCACACTCTCCCATTGGGAAAGAACCCAAATCCATGTGTGCTGAAGGATTTTATCTCCAGCTTCAGTTTGCAAGTCAGTATCCTCAATTTCTAAACCCCCAGGAAAAGCAAGTGTTAGGGCTCCTGGGAAGAGAGTGTCTCCTCCTCTACGGGCACGTGGTCAAAGCAGCCCCAAAAGGAGCAGAGAGACAAACCTGACTGCTGAGACAGGAAGTGACAGGAACCAGCCTGGTCAGTCTCACTGACTGGTACACATCTGTGGAATGGGAAAACCACTCGTGTTTGCAGTTGGGAAGGTAAGAAAAAGGAAGGGGACAAACCCAGAGGGACATCAAACCTGAGCAATTAGCATTCCCAAAGACAGGACCCAGACCCACACCTGCCCAGTCACACCAACTGGCTCAGCATCCAGCAAGTGCTGGAAATCAGGATTTTGCAACTGTCTGTGTCACACTCAGGGGAGGCCAGACCTTTGGAAACCAGCTGTCTTTTGGCTTTCTGTCCTCCCAGGATGATCTGCCTGCTCGCCTTCAGGTACCAAACACTGCAAAAGCCCACAAAACAGACCTGATTTTAAAACAACACCCACAAACCCTCCAGCTCCCAAAACCAAGGCCAATGGAAAAACATCTCCTACGTCCTGGCAGGGAGTAGTCGCTTCCTGGGACAATGTGCTCCAGTGCCAATGAATTCCAGCTTCACTCTAAGCAGGGAACTGCCACAGCTGCACTGTTT